CATGTGAAGATACCATCTAGGAATCCACATTCAGCTACCAGAAGACCAGTCTATAGATTGGCCATCTTATCAAGGTAAATGAAGGGAAGCATTAGATGTCTGCAAAGCTGTTTCTGGATTCAGTTATACCTACAACCAGTAGAAAAATAAAATAAAATAAAATAAAATAAAATAAAGCCATTAAGAAGAAAATGATCCTCATCATCTTCAATAGCACAGCTCTGCATTTAATGGGGAAGTGGCATTTAACATCTGGTATGTGGTATTTTTGAACAACTAGAAAAATGGTCCATTAGCAGGCATAGTTGGCAATAACGTAAGTTTCAAAATTGGCAATTCTGTTAAAAGCTGTTAGTGAAAAAATTTGGACACAAGAATAGTTGTAAATGAAACATTGGCCTGCACAGCCCTTGACAGATGGTGAAATCTCTTCCAAGTATGGGAAATAGGGGGATGATCAGGAATCATCATAGATGATCAGGATGATCATAGATGATCAGGAATCATCATCATAGGGGGATGATCAGAAATAGGGGGAGGATGAGGAATGTGCCCTCTGTCTCTTTCTCCCTCTCTCACACACACACGTGTACACACACAAAAAGCTTGAAAATGCAGGCATCAGCTTCATAGGACTTAATCTGTGCCAATTTTAAACCATTGATAGGAACTGGCTATTGAATAGCACCTGTGAAACACACAGAAAAGTGGAACCTCACACAGGCATGGTGGCTGTTAGACCGAGTATTTTCAGAAAAAGGCTGGGAAGCTGAGCTGTAATTTTGCACCTCATTTGTTGAGTGGAGACAGTGACTGGAAATGTGTGTGACTTTAGAATCTGATAGCAGTTACTGATCATAGCTTTCTGATTGTCAAACTGATTGTCAAATTTCATTGTAAAGTAAATGGATTATAAGCCTACACATTTCTACATGCATTACAAATCCTCTTTAGTAAGTGGCTTGGTGAATGCAAAAAGAAAAATGGTTGTATATGTCAGTTTTGCCTTCTCTCTGCCCCCTAGAGACTGTAACCACAATAGCTATACTTCAGAAGAAAGGCCAGAGTGTTTGAAACCTGCTTGAGACTAGCTTTCAAGTCAGATTTTCTGCATCTGAAACTGGTAAAAATCCCAGTTAGTTCACTGAACGTTTCTGACAAGAAGATTGTAATTAGAGAAGCCAAAGATGTATAGTTAGTAGTGATGCAGGTATAGATGAAACACTCAAGGAGAAGCAGGGACAGAAAAGTTCTTTTGTGTGTGATCCAATATATCACATCTAAATGAGTTTGAAATACCTTGGTAGGAGTTGTTCACCCAGTTCAGAGATGTAATTTGTCTTGTACTGACCATAAGATAGATTGGGGGGCACGAGAACACAGAAAAAAACTATTTTCCATGCACGACAAGGTCAGCAGCAAGGTAAAGTAGCAGTCTTCACAGTGTGCAAGCTACTATCTGCATTGGAACGCTATTGGAGCATGTTCCTCCCTCAGCTCATGTGTTATCTAGGCAAGATATTCTGGTATATGCTGCGAATGGTCTAAAGTAAACTTGAAACTACTAATGAAAATAAACCCAAGGAGATAAGATTTATTTCTAAAACACCTTGCTTACTCCTACAGGTGAGATATGAGGAGAGATTAGGGACAAAATATTTTATTTGATAAAAAGGGAACAATCGGTGCAAAACTGGCTCTCCCCTAGAGGCTGGAAGACATGCAGAGCTTCTGCAGGGCTTTTCTCTTCTAGAAGTACTTTTTGTGGGTTTGTCAGTATTGCAATACTATTTCATAAGTTGGGAAAGGAAAAGAGAACATCTTAGTTGTTGAGAGGGAGAGTTTGAGCTTTTTCAGTTTAAAAAAAGGTTTCGTAACTGTTGCTATCAGTATATTAAAAACCCTCTGTATATTTCAAAACCTCTGTCATATCAGATATGGGTGCCGGTGCTTACATAAGAACTCAAACACTGTAAGCTGGAGGTGACTTAGTGCAGCAAAAGTCTAAACTCTCTGGAACCATTGGAGGGGAATTAGTAATGGTTACACTTGTTAAAAATAACTTTCACGTGTATGAGTTTCTGGTCATGACAGGCCATGTATTCTTTCTGTTCTTCAAGCATGGCTGATGTCTTTATTTAAGCTCTGTTTTTGTAATTTGTTAGGACTTTATTTTTTTTTCCTCAGTTGGACATAATCTTTGCTACTCTTTAAAGTGTTGTCTAATTTAGATTGAATTTTACATGAAAGCAGAAGCATTAAAAACACAGTTTCTGAGTGTTCTGCAAAACCGTATCTGAAACAAAAAGCCCCTGTTAATGTCTCACAGAGGACACTGTGAGATTTCATTTTTACCTTTCCAAGAGTCAGCAGTGAGCTCACCAACCTGTATACACGTAGTTAAGTCTTACCTGCAGTTGGGCCTCTTGCCTGTCTCAAATAGGTGGGGAAGGACTAAGCAAAGGAACATTTATGGCTGTAGATGGAGGTGACTCATGGCATTCAGTGGCTAGGGTAGAAATTCAGACAAAATCTAGCTTCATTAATCCTGTAGCTCATGGAAAAAACATTCAAGCTTGGGCTTTTTAGTGGATGAAAAGACTACAGTGTACAGACTTCGTACCAGATGCCCACACAAAAGTGTTAATGCTGATATAGTACTTAGCAAGTAAAGTAATAAAGCAATAATTGGTTGCTCGGAACATATGCTCACAAAGAGCTCTTTTACTCAATTACAGAAGAATATAGCTTCCAGATTTTTATCTGTGAGATAAGGGGTTGTGTGAATGGGAAGCTGTGCATTTTTTATTTTTTTTTTTTGCAGACGGACAGGATTTTGTTGCTGGCATAGCTAGCTGTACCATTATTCTCATGCTAGAAATATCTTACAGGATCTTGATATTTGACTGCCTCAGTCAAAGTGGCCAACACCTCCAGTATCAGTGTTACACTAGAGTAAAGAATTGTACAGAGGCCTGGTTTTGACTAGTCAAACATGAGTTATTTAGATTTGGGGGTCTTTTTCTCAATTTAAAGTTACCAGTCAAGCTAACTAAAAATTTGTTACGCAGGATGGTTATGCAGGATGGTTCACACAGGCAAAAGCCATATACTCTGAGGATTACAACACACCACCCTAAAGCACAGTGTGCAACTTCAGTTAAACTTAATTGTGGAGGCGCCCTCACAGCTGGATGAAAATATTTGAAAATTTCTTTCTTTAGAGTAGAAATGCAAAGGATTGGGTACAGTACTAACGACCTAGAATGTAGTACAACCTAACCCCTCCCTAAATAATCCTGGTCTTTTCTAACTTTGTCCTCTATGCATTATCAAAGTCATTGAAGTCACACGCTTCAAAGTCAGGCTTTTGCAAGACCATGGCCTTCTGTAGAACATGCCCTTCCTGCCTGGTGTGCTTTCAATGAGGACGTTCTCTACAGAAGCCATCATTAACTTGGTTAACACCACTCCCTCCCTCCTTTCATTTACTATTTTGTTGATGTCTTACTCTGTTCGTTTATTATTTTTAACCTCTGTCTTGAGTTGAAGTCCGAAAAATAATCAGAAAAGCAAGCAAGTTCCTCAAAGTGTTTTTTAAAGGTTGTCAAAATACAAAAATATGCTTAGAATTTGTAAGATTTAGAAAACAAAGCACTTCATAGCGGTCAAATCTTACAGAGGTAAAATGTATTGTTATGGAAAAATAAATAGTTGTAATAATAGCTACTACATAACATTACTGACCCTCAGATCTTATTTAGAAAAGTGATAGAACCGTGAAATGATTTGTGGCAGACCACATGGGCAGATGACGCTGACTCCCTAAAGCCCTGCTGACTAAACCCACTGCCCCACTGCTCGTAATATTAACTACGATTGGCCATGTATTTAAAGATTTGGGTTATGTTATTTATTTATCATGGATATTGTTCAAACTCTTTGCAACTCCTATGATTTTATAACGTCTGAAATAGTGAGGTATTCCCTATAGTAAAAACGCTGGCTGTTGTAATCACTTATGGCTGAGGGAACTGGATTTCCTTGATAGAAATCCAGGTACCAGGGAACATTAAAAATAATAATTCAAGCAGAGCCACTAGAAATCGCAAGTCTTAATCATTAGCAGAAGTTTATCAAAAAGTCCAAGAATTCTCAATACATCTCATGATTGTAAAATATCACCAGGATTTTAGGAGAAACTCGGGTGTGTTTTTTTGGCAGTACTAACAGAGGCCTCAGCAGCAAGGTTCCTGTGGCAAACAGCAACGTGTTTTTGACTGCTGCCACAGACCTCACTGGTGCCTTGGACAAATTTGGCTTCTTGAGCCTGTTCCTTGTTCCTCCTCATTCTTGAGGAGCCGTTTCGCCATTTATTGAGGACCGGCAAGGGCGTGAGCGGCCTAAGGAGCGCAGCAGAGGCAAGGCCAGCAGTGCAGAGTGTCATGCTGCTTCGACCACCCGTGCCACTTCACTCTCGATGTCAGCACCGCCACCAGAGGCGAGGTGATGGCGGGCAGGAGCTGCGGTGAGGAGCTGCAGCAACCCGAGGGCTGGCATGGCAGGAGGGGCTGTGAGGCAGATCCTGCTACTGCTCAGCTGGGGCTTGACTGAAAGAAGGCTTGGAGCCACTGCCTTGGCAACTGCATGCTTGGCCTGCATTTTCTGTCCATGTTCCCTACGAGATTTCACAGAACCACACAGAACTGCAGGGGTCGGAAGGGACATGGACACGCCGAGGCCCGGCCGGGCGCAGCTCCCCCCCCCCCCCCCTCCCCTCCCCGCCCAGCCACCGGCCTCCGCCCGCCGCGCCTCCGGGACGGTGACGTCACGGCGCGGTTGCCATAGCGACGGCCGGGGTCGCACCTGACGGCTGTCGTGAAGCAGCGGGAGGAGAGCGAGGGAAGGAGGAAGGAAGGGGGAGCCCAGGCCCGGCCCGGCCCCCGCCGGGCCCCTCCAGCCCCGCCGCCCCGGAGGAGGAGGAGGAGGAGGAGGAGGAGGAGGAGGAGGAGGAGGCGGCCGGAGGAAGAGGAGGCGGCGCTGCTGCTGCTGCTGTCGCTGCCGGCGGCTATGTAGGGGCCCCGGTGCGGGCGGATCCGGAGGCCGCTGCCCGCCTCTGGAGCGCGGCGCCGGGGCCGGGCCCGGCGGGATGTTCTCCAAGAAGCCGCACGGGGACGTGCGGAAATCCACGCAGAAGGTGCTGGACACCCGCAAGGACCCGCTCACCCGCCTCAAGCACCTGCGCGTCCTCATCGGTGGGTGAGGAGGGGGGGGGAGGCGGCGAGCGGGGTCCGGCCCTAGGCGCTGTGTGGCCGCCGCCCCCCGGCCCCGGTGCAGGGGGGAGCCGGAGGCCGGGGGCAGGGGGGCGGGGGGCCCGCAGGGACACCCCGACCCTAAGCCTCGGGGCCGGGCCAGGGAGCCCCAGGAGCTCCGCTCCCCGCTGCTGTGCCCAGGCAGCAGCAACCCCACCTTGTCTGGGGGAGGAATTCATCGGGCAGAGGGGGACAGAAGCGAAAAACCGGTGGATTTCCCCACCGAAACGCTGTTGTGAAGTCAGTCAGTTTGAATAGAAGTGGTGAGCAAGCAGTAGTGGTGCCCCTGGCTCCCTAATCCATTTTCCTAAAGTAACAACTGAGTGCTCTCGAGTTGGAGCTGCCAGGGTGAGTGCTCACCAGGACCCCAGTAGGTGAGCATCCATACGGCTATCCTAAAGACACCTCTGCCTTGCAAATTGGTTAGTAGGGAGCATAAGCACTTAAATGGCACCGTAGTGCAGTGCGGACAGCTGTTTAACCTGACCAGCAAATTATAATGTGTGATTATATGCAGTAACATGCGTAATGGAAAAGGCAGAGTTAACCATTTCAAAATATCTGCTAGCTGGAGGTGTTTGTAGAGATCTAGGTCCTTGTCATCAAGCTGTCCTTGAAAAACGCAGCTTCCTCTCGAGCATGTTTTGGGTCCTGGAGTTCAGTAACCGTATGGGTTGTTTCTGACAGTTTATTAACGTGTGAGCGGAGCGGGGTCAAGGGCAACTGCGTTCTGTATTTAGAACAGAGTGTTGAATGGATTATTTTGGTTTCTGCCCACAGTCTGGGGGTATTTAAGTATATTGTCCTCAGCCTGTAAAGCTGAATTCTTTCCTTTCAAAGGAAAACGGTTCTTGCTCCCTTTTTTCTTTTGTATTAGTGTTTGAAGGAACAGCTGTTCCCACATGGCAGCAACTGCTGCTGCATGACTTATTTCTGCAATGTAATTATGTCTTTTGAAATGGAGAACAGTTTTGTAGCGAGCTATCCCAGACACTTCAGTAGTCAGATATAGCCTCTTGCCTCACTCAGAATCTTAGAACTCGTCCTAGCTAGCTGCACCGAGCCAGTTGTGGCTTGTTTTATGTTGATTTATGTTTATTTTTAGCTCCTTAATCAGTTGAAGAAATTTAAGAGGAAAGATCATTATAAAGAAACTAAATACAGCTCTGAATTTAGTTTTCCTGGCTGTTGTGGGTTAACCCCAGTAGGCAGTACACTGGGTAAAGTATGCTGAGCATTTCCAGTTTGCTGTAGTCTTCAAAACATCATATCTGTCCAATTTTGATCTGTTCTATTCTGGATTTGGTATTTCTGTAACTTGTCTTTTATTTACAAGATTTTTTCCCTCAGGTTTGTTAACAGTCAGGTGCATTTAGTGAGATGCAAGCTGTGAGCTCTGTGTCAAGCAAACGTTCTTATCTAATCTAGGGTTTCTGTTTACTGGCTTTAGGACAGACTAAATCTGCTGGGACATGTTTTCATGTGATGGCCATTCCCCTTTCTCCACCCCCAAATGCGTATTTCTTGGCTGTTGAAGCACAGTTCCCACATGCTTTGTCCAAGTTTTGGAGAATACAGTTCAGTGTATGACTGTATGTAGGGAAAGGTGTGACACTGCTCTTCAGTTTCTCTGTCTTGTATCCATCTACAAACTTTTATTGTTATTCAGGTGTATCCTAGATCCATGAGGTACAAAAACAAGTTTTTTTATGGGGGGAGCAGAGGGATACTTCTCTTATTCATACATGAGTGCAAGAGAAGTGCAGTACAGATTATTTGAAATCCATTTTCTTCTGTGATCACATCTTTGCTTTATTCCTGAAAATTCTCTCCTCCCTAAACAGGCCTTCAAAGCATAAACTCTATGCCCTTTCTTCCCCATTTGTTTCTTTGACTAGTCAGCAGGACCAGATTAAAGAAGAAAAAAGTGCCCACATGGGACAGACTGCTGCCCAAGATTGCTTTGGGTTCAGACACCAGCCTGCAGCTTGAACAGTGTAGTGCTGCATTTTCCTGTTTATCATTTTTCTTCAGTGACAACTTCCCCCCCCCGCCACGCACACACCCCAGCATAATAATCAGCATGCTTCCATGTGCTTCAGGGGAGCCAAGGAGCTAGTGCCAGCAGGCTGTCTGGGGGAGAGGCACTCGTGGAATCTCTGTTCGGTATATTCATTAATGAAAAATGGCTTGTCTTGTTCATTGCTCTTAGCCTCTGTGTATCAGAGACTAAAAGACCATCAAGAAGAGAATTATCTGATGTTTCACATGCAGAGAATGGGGAGAAGTGTTTCTTGTTCATAAATGGCAAAGTGCATTGGACCAGAATTATTTTTTTTGCCATGCGTTTTAGCATTTGGTTCAGCGGCAATAAACTGAAACATGGCCTTAAATTCATGGAGAAGACTTGCAAGGAAGAAAGGAGTGCTACTTCATCTTCCTTCTATTTTAGCAAGGCATCAAAAGCACTCATTTTCCATTAAGACATTACTAAGATAATGAAATAGTTATGAAAAGAGGCAGAGTGGTCAGGAATTCTAGACTGATTGTTATCTGTTAGCCAAAGAAGATACATGCAAACCATTTTGTTAAGGTGAAAGATGAACGGTTGAATCCCACAAAGCAGTGGTACAAGTCAGACATCATCTAAAAATATTTAAGCTAGGATCATATGGTTGTTAGGTAAGACCAGAAGAGAATGAACAGTTTCAGAGAACATAATATGAAGTAAAGTGACCGGATAGCACAAAGGCAGGCAATGTTTATTTTTAACAAATTAAAAATAGTGCACACTAGATGAAATTACATAAATGCCTTTTACAAGACAACTTAGAATCCCGTGAGCTGTATCATTTCGAGAAAAAAATCCTGTTGTTGACAGCTAAGTGCAAATTAGTCTGCTTAAAGTATACAGAAAACTTTGTCTTCATAAAACAGTAGTGTACCGTTATCTGAAAATATCACTGCAGCATTACTAGTCTTGTTGCTGTAGCCAGTATAGAAAGGATTTAGAGATGGGAATGACCCCTATAAGAATAAAAGTTTAATGTAAAAAGAAATCTTTGGAATCCCTTTTTGGAGGGGCAGAGAGTGAAAAATGTGGAAACATACATGAAAAAGACAAGGAAATAAAACATGTTAAGAGCTACCAAATTTGAAGTTACAGTAGAATATTTTTGGCTTGAGGAAGCTCCTGAGCACTACTAGTGTGTCTACCACGTACGGGTAAAGTGGGGGTAAATGTATTTGTTCCCCCCTCAACTCTTATCTAGGATCTGCTCTTTGCCACTTCAGACCAGTATCCTGGTTCTCTGCTCTGGCTCAGTATGGCTTTTTTCGTGGGATATCTATTCACTCTGTTTTGTAATTAAGTATCCAAAGAAAATTCAGAAATTTAGGCTACCAATTCATAATTGATTAGTTGTTAAAGTAAATATGTTAAATGACCAATTTACGCATGTCACAGACATTCGGTTTCCTTATAGAGGTCAAAGCCTGGAGGAAACCTCAAAGTAGTAATAAATGCTGTTAATGCTAAGAACTGCCATGAAAAATTGGAAAGAGATTGAAGTCATCCTGGGACTTATCAGTCTGTGAGCAAAAGTAATCTGCCTTTGTGTGTTGCCGCTACAGTATCTTTCTTGAAACAGCTGGAATTATCTTCTTTTGAGAGACCTGATGCTTTTAAGTTGGGTTAGTTTCTTCCTGTAGAGAACTGATCATCCTCTTTAATTAGTTCTGGGATGTGCATTTGAAGCATATGGGCTGCTAGCACTATCTCTGTCAGCATGTGACTTTTTTTTTAATCAAACTCTTCTCTCCGGTTCATATACTCCGGGAAGGCTGTGGCAGTTGTGCTTACCCAGAGCTGCTTTGGTGGTAAGAGCATGGGAACCCGAGCAGGAGCGTGGTGTGGGATTCTGCTGCCAACAGCGTGGAAGTGCCTCGTCAGCTAATGGCCATTTGGGGGATTGTTAAGAGGAAATAGCATGGAAATAATACTGCCTTTTTCTTATCATCAGTGTTGCACTGCTTAATTGGACCTCAGCATCAAAGAGGTCCTTTTGCTGTGCATATGCACATAAACAGTAGTAACAACGTAATTAAGATTCTCTGGTTTTAAAGTGATAGCTCTTAGAAGTTCATTCTAGTAATCCTTCAAGCAGCAAATCATGCTTGATTTGTCGTGTTGTTAAAGCTGTGCTTTGGGAACTCTGTAAATAATTAAAGCAGCTAGGTATGTGACCCTTTCATAACGTCATACCTTAATAATATTGACTTCTTGTTTTTTCTCTGGCTTTGGTATGAAACATGTTGCTGCTATGGCAGAATATGTGGGTTCAGTCTTACTGTGTGAAAGCAAGACAAATGAATGTGCTCAGTTTAGAATTTACTTTTACATCTGAATTCTTAAGGGAAATCCTTTGTTTTTCTGCTTTTTGGTAGGGGAGGAGTTACAGGCCTGTAATCTGTCAATCCAGGGTAAAGCAAAAAAGGAGTATTTTGTTTCTTAAAAATAATTTTATTTGCATCTGATACCTTTAAAATACACTGTATCTCTGGAGCTGTGGAGAGCATACTTGTTAACATTTAATGCAAAGAGAACAGGGTGCTTGAAGTGTGGATCTTAGTTATTATTTTGTTTGGGTGTTTTTGGTGGTTGGTTAGTGCTCAACATCTCCTGTGAGTGATCTCCGAAAGGGAGAAGTCAAGCTGTGCAGGACAGAATGAGACAGTCTGTATTGGACATTGTCTGATATATTTCTCAGTATTAAACAATATACTTAGACAAAGATTGCATTTGTCTAAAGGGATTTTAATTTAAGAAATGTATCTCACTGGCAGCCAGCCCTAATGCTTCAGCTGGATGACATTCATTGGTGTTGCACATGGTCAACATCGTTCATTAGAGTATCGCTGATGTACTATAAGAAACAAAAAAT